TATGAAAGTTTGCATCAAATTAAGTTTAGTTTTAATGTTTAACTCCAGTATTCATATTTAATGAGAATTAAATTCACCCCATGGGGAAGCAGTTTGCAAGCATTTAGGCTAAGTTAAGACAATTAACATTTCACCCTGAGAGCAGCTAGAAATACCGTCAACACTAAATGTGCTACAATCCCAGCAGGAGCAACATATTTAAGTTATATACAGCTACACACTCTGCAGAGACAGATATTCCTAAGGATCTTCCCAGGGTCATTAGTATGGTTGCAGGTTCTGAGCGAAGATGCTCTGTCTGGTTTATTTTGGGCTATTCACTCTATTCAGCCTACACAAAAGCAGGTTGAGTCCATACAGAAATAGACTGCAACTGCATCTCTTCTTGTTTGGAGAGCTTTTGGGGCGGCTTTAAAAACAAACAAGAAAACAAGCCCCATTTCAGTGCAAATAAATAAATAAAATACAGATCTGGTGGTGTTTACCCCAGGTAAACCACAAATATTTACAGCCTGGAACAAACCTTCCGGAAGGGTCCAGACTAGCCTTTACAAAGGTGAATTACCTCAAGTTAACTGGCAACCAATTAACTTAAGGTCAAAACATTAGTGGTTACAAACCTTGAGTGGTGTGGGAGGAGCTTCCAGAGGTAAAGGATCCATACACCTTTAACCTCTACAGATATCAGTTGCGTTCCTCAATAGCTCACATATGGAATGAGTTTGGTCACCACCATTTCCTTTCTGGATATTGGTCCATACTGAAACTATGGCACAGTTCCCAGGCAGAAAATGCCCAGAAGCCAAGCTCTGCAAATACTGCTGTGAAGACAGGATAGCTAGAGGGCAGGAATGAGGTGCACTGGCAGACCTGTGGGGGATGTTCTTACAGGTCAAGGCTGAAGTGAAGTGGTACAAGTCTGGCAAAGCCTGCAACTGCACCCACCTGCATCATTATGTCTGACTCTAACCAAAGCAACTGCTTCCCTTATTTTCAGAAACAATAAATTAAACTTAAGTTTTAAAAAGACTTCTGGGCTAGACAGGCTTTTAAAAAATATGCATTACACATCTGATAGCTCTATGCTCTGTTCAGAGTCTAACTTCACACAAAAGAGCAACCTAGAGATATTTACATGCAAGCATAGACCTTAGAAAAACAACTAAAAAGGGAAAAATGGAACTCAAATACCCTGGAGTTCAGGAAAGCCAACAGGCAAGCTAGGAGGAAAAGAGAACCAACACCAGGACCATTAACCCCTCCAGATGCACAAGAATCCTGGACAGAATAGATACATCAAGCCTGAGCAGCACCACAAATTGCTTGTGCGGCTGCATCATCATTGCCTCACGCACCCACAGACTACTGCAGCTGCCTGTCAAGCTAGAAATCTGACATACCAGAAAGGTTGCTGACAGCCAGAGGCTGTTCTTCTGTCTGTAACATACCCTGCAATAAATTACTTACAACTTGGGGAGGGGGATTCGGAGGAGAGCAAAATAAAGTACACCCTTATCGGTGTTAAATGAGGCCAATTAAAAGATATTTGCTACAAGTGCTGAGGGATTTGGACCTGTGCTATCATCATGGATGGAGATGCATTCTTTAAAAAAAGGAAAATGTTTGAGAGATCATGTGTAAACAACTCCAGCAATTACAATTAAATAGATTATTTTATCTGTGCAGTTCTTCTGCACCTTCCAGCCAAACCACAGAAAGATGGAGACAGGCATCAAAACCTGTCAAACACTGCTCCGGAGATGTGCACGGGTCCAGAATGCACACATGCCTTGTTGACACTTGGATAGTTCTTTACCATTTTCAGCTAGTGTAGACTAGGCCCAGGCATCTTTACCACTGTGTCATCTAAACCAGAGGTGTAAACACTAACGCAGATAAGACACAGGGTCTGAAGGTTAGATGACATTGGTAAAATATGCCTTCAGAAGAGTTTATACTGTTGATAGCATCACTGCATCTGCTAGACTGAAAAACTGAAAAATATTACTGAAAAACATGCAAATATTCTAGCACATATGTTCACATCTGCACTCTCTCCCCAATCTTCTGTTCTACAGGCTTCTAAATACTATGAATACATTAAAGCAGTGACTCTCAATCTTTTCTATACTGGGAACCCCTTTTTGCAACTAGAAATGCCTCAGGACTCTTCCCCTTTCCCCCCCCCCCCCCCCCCAACTGCAATTTTACGGCTTGTCTACACATGAAAATTAATTAAGGTAGGCTGTGAATTTAAAGATTAGTATTCATGATTAACTCCTTGTGTGGACACTCTTGTTCCAGAATAAGAGTGCCTTATCTGAATTAGTTTAAACCAAATGGATTACAAGTGCCTTATTCCAGAATAAAAGCGTCCATACATGGAGTTAATCAGAACTAGTTATTCCAGAATAGTTCCCTCAGCAATATGGGAAGTGCCGGGTGAACACGACTCCCTGACACCTGCCTTGAAGCACATTAACTTTTCACTTACATGACAGGAAAAGAAAATTCAACACAACCTACAGAGATTTTCTGTTCTCCACTTTTCAGCACTTACACTGAAGTTTATATTCACTTCTCTTTCAAATTTTTAATACTGCTATTTTGAAATCCCACACACAGAAACAAAGCTGTTTTAAAAGATGTGTTTGCAGCCTGCAAAAACAAAACAAAATACTGAAATGGAGATTTTTCAGTACTGACTGATAGATGGAGGGCAGCCATGATTGGAAATTAAACAAGGATGAAAGGAGCAGGAGTGAATGTGAAGGACTATGTGAAAAGTGAAGGGGGAGAAGAAAGAGTGGGAAAAGAGTGGATTAAAAAGCTTAGGGAATTTGTGAAGGGGTGAAAAGTGAAAAGGGGAAGGTAGCCAACATACAAGAGAATCAGTTAAGAGATAATTCTGAACGTACATAGCACTTTTAGTCACAAAGGATCCTAAGGTGCTTTACCAACTCAACCAGATGTACAAATATGGGAATGCATACATCCGATGAAGTGACCTGTAGCTCACGAAAGCTTATGCTCACATAAATTTGTTAGTCTCCAAGGTGCCACAAGTACTCCTTTTCTTTTTGCAAATACTGGAATGACTTCTCGCACCACCGACCTTGTCTATGCTACTTCATTTTATTGTGTTGCATCGTGATCATGAAACAACTGAGTTAGATTACACAGTGCTGAACATGACTACAGCCAATACAGACCAGACCAAAATATGTTTGTTGTCATAACATGGGGTTTAATCACCACAGTCTGACACAATGCTGAACGTGACTTGTCCTAGTTTATGCTGACCGCTCTACTCATGGTCACCATTATGCCATCTAACTCAATTATTCAGAATCATGTTCAAACACAATAAAAGTGTGTAATGTAAATAAGCCCATGGAGATGCAGCCACCTTTGGGGTGGAACATGATCTAAGCAGCACTCAACAGCTTAGAGAAATAAGTGAATAAGAATCTGGTCTCCAAGTGAAACTCCAGTAAAAACCAGGGCTCTGATGGAGAATGGGATAGGACAGGAAGAGTTCAGAAGAAGTGGGTAGGACAGATATTCTTGTGGTTAAATCACTGGACTGGGAGTCAGATGTGCTGCTGTTCCAGACTGCCTGACCTTGGGGAAGTCAGTTAACCTCTCTGTGCCTGAATTTTTCCATCAGTAGAATGAAAACAAAACAAACCTTGATCAAGGAAGGCATTGGGAGCTTTAAAATCCTTAGATAAAGGGTACACAGGGCTATTCTGTTCAGTGGCTGAAGGGAGTCCAGGGGAACTTACAGGCTCCAGAATGCTCTTTGCTTCTGGATTTCCTCTCTGTGGTCTGTTTCTCCAAAGCAGGTGCATCCTAATCTCCTCTGCTGCTTCATAAGACCCAAAGGAGGCACAGTACCTCCAAGTTGCCCCAGCTTCACTGGGGAAGGAAGCCACAACTCAGTAACCAACCTGGAGAGGTGGATGGGGTTTGGGCACACAGGAATGCACCCCACTATATTCCCCCATTATCAGCCACTTGGACAACCCTGTCACCCTGTACAGGTAGTTCAAAGGTGCACAAATATACAGTGATAGGCATCTTAGGGTATGTCTGCAGTAGTGGCTACAGCTCTGCCTCTGTAGCGCCATAGTTTAGCCGCCTGCTGTGTCGATGGAAGGGCTGTTGTCGATAGGTAATCCTCCCATCTGAAAGGCCAGGTTGATGGAAGACCTAGCTGCATCTACAGCAGATGCTAGGGCTATGTCTACACTGCCACTTAGTATCCCTCAGGGGTGTGAATGAGCTACCCCCCTGGGTGACATAAGTTACACTGACCCAAGCAATCGTGTGGACAGTGCCATGTTGGCAGAAGAGCGTCTCCTGACATAGCTGCCACAGCTTGGGGGGTGGGTTCATTAAGACAATGCTAGATCTCTCTCCCGTGGGCTTAGAGGGGCTACGAGACAGCGTACAGCAGCACAGTTGCATAGGGGCAGCTGCGCTGCTGTAAGCTCTCTCCTGTAGCCACAGCCTGAGTCGACCCAAGGAGGTGCACATTTTTTCACAGCCCTGAGCAAGGTAGCTAGACCAGCGCATCTGAGGTGTGGGCCCGGCTGGGGAATGCCTCTGCAGGCAGGGCTCGGGGCAGCGGGGACGGGGCCGTGTGCCGGCAAAGGGCACTAGCAGGGCTGAAATGGGGTGGGGGGGTGGATTTTCCCAAGGGCAGCCCCAGGTGCCCGCCCATGGCAGGCTGTCCCCGCGGCTCCGCTGGGCGCGCTTGGCCCGGGTCACACCCGGCTGCCCAGGGTTTCTGTCCCACCCACCGGGGCGGGGGCTGCCGAGATTCCCGGGCACCAGGCGCCAGCCCCAGGCACGGCTGGGCCACGCCGCCACACCAGGCGCCCAGCGCGGGCGGCCCCGTGAGCAGCTGCGGGGGGACGCGGTGGCCGCGGGCCCGGCCGGAGCCCAGCGCCGGTGGGAGAGCCCCGGTCTGCTCACTCCCTGCCCCGCCTCACCTCCACCTGGCGCCGGGGCCCCTCCGGCGGGTGCCCGCGCTGGCTCCCGCCTCCCCCTCACGCCGGCCCCGGGCCGCGGGCTCCCGGCCGCTGGGTCCCGCTCCGGCCGCTGGGGGAGCCGCTGCCACCGCGCCGCTCCGTCGCCATCTTCCGCTGGAGGGAGGGAGCGGAGGGGAGGCGGCCGCCAAGGTCCCGCCCCCGCCAGCTGGGCCGCCGCCGCTGCCGAGCCCGCCAGGCCCTGCGGCGGGGGGGGGGACAAGCCAGACCCGCCCGCTCCCTTCCTGTCGCGACAGCCCCGTGGGCGGATCGACATCCCCGAGTTGCCCGGGGAGGGGGGCACCAGGTCAGAGTGATACCCAGGCAAGGGGGGCACAGGCTGGACCATTCCCCGCCCCCCTTCCAGGCAAGGGGCTGCCCATGGTGACATTAGGGTAACTGCTCCAGGGGGAGTTGGGGCGCTGTACAAACACAGAAGAGACAAGCCCTGCCCCCCAGGGCTCTGGGATTGTCTGCACCGGCAAGTTACTGCAAAATAGCTACAGTCCTTTAATAATTCCCCACCCTTGAAATTATTCCGGAATGGATGCTGTTTGCAACTGAGTTTAATTCTCTTCCAAAATGGCTTACCTTAAATCAGAAAAAGGCCCCCTTATTCCATAATAAGAGTGCCCACAGGGGAGCTGTTCTGGTCAATTTCCCACTGAAGACAAGCCCTTAGGCCTGGTCCCAGACAAGTTTTGTTTTTGTTGGGGATGTGATTTTATTTTACAGAAACAGTTATACCAGTACAACCTTTTGTATGGGCATGGCCATACCACTATAAAAGTGGGTATAGGGGCAGAGTTTATTCCCTTTCCCAGATAGGAATAATAGGGTGACCAGACTGCACGTGTGAAAAATTGGGATGGGGGTTGGGGGGAATAGAAGTCTATATAAGAAAAAGACCCCAAAATCGGGACTGTCCCTATAAAATCGGGACATCTGGTCACCCTAAGGAATAAGCATTTCAGCACCTTTGTATAATTCCATCCAAGCAGGGTGTGGACTGTCGAACTATACCCAGATGTTTAAAACAGTACAATGGTAGCAGTCAGACAAGGCTTTATAATCTAAACAGAGGATAGGGATACAACATACAAGCTCATGACTATGATTAATTGGCACACTATGGTTAGTTAGATGTAATGTAGTTTATTCATCGTAGTAGCTTTGCATTGGTGTTTCTAACTTAACATAGCTATGATCTATTTAATGCCCACTAAATTTGGGGTTCTGCATGGGCTCTGGCTAGATGTTAAACCCCTTTCTATCTGCTCCAACTTTTCCCCTCTTTTCACACATTCAGTTCCTAGTTTTCATTAAGCCCAATGGAAATAAATGTCATGTTAATCAAATTTAATCACACACACACCCCTTCTCTGCAAAAGATAAATAGATGTAGCATGTTTCCTTTAAAATAAATGGCAAACTGTTGTTATTGGGGCTACGTGAGCCTTGTGATGGCTTCAAGTCAAGTCCCCAGCTCAGGACTCATTTGTATTAGGGAAATGGGCACCACTGATGAAGTTACATTTCTGCAAACCTCTAAGAGACACAGTGCACTGGAGTTACAGCCTGATTCTGAATAGAAACTGCTTGCTGTGGTTTTCTAAGTTACCCTTTGGCATCAGAGACTGACCACAAAAGTAAGTTTTCTAAATCACATGTAATGGCATCTGAGGTCAGGATTACACATGGGACAGTGACAACACCACAGCTGTGAATTAGTGTTTACTGTACAATCACCACTCTCCCATCAACATAGTTCTGGCTTCAAGTCACAGGAACTGAGGACTTGTCTACAAGGGAAGTTATACCACTGTAAGGTAAGATGTGAATTCTGCTTCTTTTAGCTTCTTTTGAATTCACACCTTCTTTTAGCTTAGGTACGAGGAGCGTTGCTGCAGAGCAAATGAGGAAATCAAAAAAACCCCACGAGGGAGGGAGGGAGGGATAGAGAGAGAGAGAGAGAGAAGCAACCAGCTTAATCATTAAAGTTATTTATTGCCAGGTAATAACCATAGGGGAGCCAAACAAACAAAACAGTTATAATATTAAATCTAACTTAAATTTGATTATAAAAGTCAAGTTTACAAAACTATAACTGATCACACAAGTCAGGGTCAGAAGACTATCACATCCCCGAGAGAGAGAGAGATGGGTTCTCACCACTCCGTGAAGCTTGAATTGATCCGGAGTCCCAGGTGGTGGTGGTGGTGGTGGTAGCTGAGGGTCCGGAGTGCTGGAGACAGGTAGAGCCCCCAGCATGATCAGTCAGCAGAAGATGAAGTCCCAATGGAACTGATGCAGATTTTGGATCCTGGTATCAGAACACTTACTTGAGCATAAGTAGGGGTTTTTGTTGAGAAACAACAATGGTTCAAGGGAGAACACTAGATTTGTTTATGTGTAAATAAGGGAGTATACCAAAGTTGTTTCCTTCAGGCTAGAGCATGGGAGCTGATCATTCCTGGCTTTGGACTGTGTTCCTTGGAAGGAGCTCACAATGCAATCAGGGAGCTTCACTATTTTGGATACCAATAAAGGATTTATTACTAGAATTGGTCTGATAACTACTGAGCTGGGTGTGTGCAGGCGTGGGTTCATTAACATCTGGAGCAGAGATCCCTCATCATGCAGTGCTTCCCTGCTTTTCTGGTCCCAGAGTTCCATGCAGTTCTTGCCTTGGAATTTCTGTCCTCCATTCTGTATGCTAATGGAGGTGCCTCCTTGTCCCATCTTCGATGGGAATGAGGTCTAGGGGAGTTCCCTTAATCCTGTCATCCTTATCCCAGGGGTTTAGGTGTGTCTCCCACTCCCTTTTCATTGCTTTTTGTAAGTCTTTCTTCTGATGCAGATTTGGTTCAAGCAGAGGCTGGGAGGGGGTGTTTTTTGTGAGTGACACAGGTTGGGTACTGCACCCTGGTTCCCCAAGAACACAGGGCTGCTAGGTAACACAGGTGAGGTATCATTGGAAAGGTTATGATTTACGAATGTGATTATCCATGTATACATGTATCATTTCTGTATCTGAAGTTAGGAAAATTTACTATGTAACAATTACAACTGTGTTTTCACCTGGGGAATGCCCACCAGACGCAATCATCCAGGAATGGCCCATTAGGGAGAACAATAGGACTTTGAAACTACTACTTCTTGAGAAGTTTCCTGGGATGCTGCTTTGACACTGCTGGGTTGTGTGATCATGTCATCTGGTACTGGGACATGGTACATCTTGGACTGCTGGTATTTTTCCACTAGGAGGGGTGGAGGTTCAAACTGGGAAACAAAGGATTCCTGCCATATGCAAAACGTATTTAAGGCTGGGGAGTGAGTTAATCTAGGTTCTTCTCTACAGCCTCCCCACCCAAGAAAGAAGACTGCTGAAAATACTTAAAGAAACAAAGGAACTAAGCGGGAGGCGGGGGAGGGGCTGAGCCCAGGGGAGAAAGGTCTAGTCTGTGAAAGGAATACCAGGAGATTTAAGCTGCAAGCAGTGAAGTTTAACTTCAAGAAACTCTGCAACCTGCACAAAACAATATTTAGGGTGAGAATGTGCTACTATTAACCAGTTAATTTAGTGTATTAAGCGTAGGTTGCGTGTTTTGTTTTATTTACTCAGTAATCTGCTTTGATCTGTTTACTGTCCCTTATAATTACTTAAAATTTACCTTTTGTAGTTAATAAACTTGTTTTTCTTTATTCTGTGGCAAACTTGTATAATTCATAACTGGGGGGCAAAAAGCTGTGCATATCTTCCTCCACATTGGGGGCGGATTTCATGAGTTTACGCTGTATAGATTTCTGTACAGCGCAAGACAATATAATTTTGGGTTTACACTCCAGAGGGTGTGTGCACCTGAGTGCTGGGTAATTCCCTAGCTGAAAGCCTTCCCATGCAGCACTGATTTCAGTATTGGTGTCATTCTGCAGCTGAGGGTGTCCCTACCTGTTTGTATGTGTGCGTGCGTGCGTGTAGCGGGACAGGATGAGGGATCCCAGGCTGGTGAAATGGGCGAGCTCAGTGGAACCCCAGTCTATCAAGTGGCACCGTGGAGCAGGGGGTAACCCATCACAGTGGTGCAGTGAGCAGGGTAATGTGCACAGCTTATTGCTCTGAGACACTGGTGGTGATTTTAAGTGAGTTTTAAGTGTGTTGGCTAGAGAACAGACAAAGTGGTTACAGGTTTGTTATTGTCTGTTTGCTTATTTCGGGTAAGGGAAGTAGGGACAGGAAAAGTAGGAAAATGAGTGAAAGTGAAGCTACCAAAAAGTTGGATCGTCACAGATTGCAAGTAGAAGAAAACAAAAAGATGTACAAGAGAGAGGTGGAATTAAGACAATTGCAGATAAAAAGAATGGGAAGCGGAAGAAGCCTGACAAAAAGCAGCCTACGAGAGGGTCATGGAAGCCCAGAAGCAAGCCATTGAACAGAGAGGCAAAGAAATCAGAGGAGAGGGAAAAAAAGAGAAAGCATGTACTGGCCTTAATGGAGTGGAGGAGACAGAACCCCATACCAGGGAGCCCCGCCTCTCCAAAAGTCCACAAGTGGGAGCGGTTGTGTCCTGCATACAGCAAGACTGGAGACATTGCTGAATATTTCTTCACCTTTGAGAGGCTGTGTGTGCTCCATAAAATTCCTGATGATCAAAAGATGACCACTTTGGTTGCAAATTTGTCTGGGAGAGCTCTGGATATATTCAATAAGGTGATGCTTCTAATTATGGTAAATTCAAATAGTTTTAAAACAGTTACAGATTACACTTGAAATTTTCTGAGTAAAATTTAGGAGCCTTAAAAGAGGGGCTGGATTGAATAATGTGGCATATGTAAACCAAATGAGAGATTTACGGAATAAGTGGGTGAGGGGAAAAGGTATTTCAAGCATTGAAGAAATGCATGATTTGGTTGCTCAGGAACAGCTCCTAAATATGTCTAATGATGATGTAAAACTATTTATGGGATAAGAGGGTAAAAACTGTCAAAGATCTCGCAACTTTTGCAGATGAATTTGAACAATCCTAAGCATCTATTAGGAATAAATCACAGGCAGAGGGGTTTAAGTCTGGTGGGAAGCAGGGTTCCCATTTTACCCCTGCTATCATTGTAATTC